AAGGTTTGGACCACTTCAAAAGAACTCAAATCGTTGCCATATTTATGAAGCAAATCGAATTAAACATTATTTAACATATACATAACGAAAATCACATTCGATTTATCGATATACACTTAATAATTTTCCGCGTTTAATAATTTATATTTATTCACGCAACAATAGAAGCAATATTTATTGACTTAACGACAAATAAAAATTTTTATTTATTTTGCGTGTGATTTATTTAATAAGTTAATCAAATAATTTATCTCTATGAATATTAATGCGTTTAATTCCAAATTAATTATTTATTTATATAAATGTAATTTCTATGCATACCCAAAGATATAGAAAATCGCGCAATAGATATAGAAAAATATACTTTTTCACAAATTTTCTCATTGCAATTGAAAATCGCGGTCTCGATAAATACTCATATATAGATATATAGATGTGTGTGTGTGTGTGTGTGTGTGTGTGTGTGTGTGTGTGTGTGTGTGTGTGTAACTCTTATGATTATAATTGTTGCGTCTAAAACTGCGCATGACTCCACGACTGCTCGCTATTAGGATCGTCATTTTGTTCCCTTTTTGCATTCTTTCGCGTTTGTGCCAAGTACACACTTGTCGACTGACATAGCTAGCTAGCCAACAGTTGAAGCTCTCCTTCGTCTTCACGACTCTTTGAGCAACCACCTTTTGGGCGCTCTTCAGCATCCTCTTCTCGCTCTCTCAGTGTTCTCGAACCCTTAAACCCCCTAAGACTCCTCGACCTCCTCCTTTTCTCGCTCTCTCTTCTTTGCGTCACCCTTCTTCAGCGTCACCGGTATCTCGACCTTCTTTCATCATCTTATATAAAGCGAGTTATATAGCCGTCGTACCTTAAGTTAGGATCTGGCGTTAGCTGCCTTCGCGGGTACTAATTGACTAGCATCGTTAATTACTCTCGTTTGATCTCTCGCTCGCGCTCGATTCGCGTCCTTTGGCGCTCGTTCTACTTCTCACCGAGGACTACTTCTCCGCCTTCATCTCATTCAGGCCACTAATATTAAAAATTATTCTCTTTCTTGGTGCCACAAAGAATGCGATAGCAAAGTATTAACAATAATATTAATAAAAATAATACAATAATATATTACTGTTTCATACTAAATCTTAAATATTATTTGGTATCGTATATTAACATTATTGTAGTATACGAATCGGTGCTACGGAAATAATAATATATTATTTCGACCCCTGTCAATGAAGGAACCTACCCGGCAAAATACCAATTTTTTTTTTCTTGAATATTAAACGCGTTATTCTAAATCGTGTAAATGTGGGAAAATAATTTTCGGTCGTCAATTAATTGACGATTTCGCACATTTCATCTCGTGGCACTCGTGTGGGGTTTTCCGGAGACGGACGAGAAATAAATTCAAAAAGTATCGGAAAGAAGTTGCTTCGTGGGATTCGTGGACAACACAGCTGGTTTTCTTTTTATGAAAAATAAATATAGGATTTCACGGAATATATAGGTTTGCGCGCCGTCGCTAGAAATATGATAATAACCGCTAATTAATTGTTACATAAGAACACATACGCGAAAATAAACGCGTTCTCCCTATCGGTATTTTGCGAAAAGTGCAGGAGAAAAACGGGATATCTATGTTTAACGGAATTTCTAACACACAAATCGTGTTAAACGGCAGACTTTGAGGAAATGAGGCGCGTACGGCGCTAAGTCGTATTACAAAATAGGCAGTGCGTCGGGCTACCTCGACAATCGAACAACCTACATACGGCTAAACACTAGAGAGAGAGACACATATCGCATACTATCCAAACTACTGTACAGACTTTGGCTCGCAGTATTCGAACTTTGTTCAGCTCCGCGTTTAGCTTCCGATTTTAGACTTTATCAGTCACCACGCATTCAACGCCAAAATGAGCAAAGTTTCTATATTTCGATGGAAACAAAGACGAGCTCTTCAATAAACTCAATCTCTAATACATCACTGTTGTTATCAATAAATAAATTCTATATAAATAAATTAATTAATACCTGTATAATAAAAAAGTATAAAAAAATGTAGTTTTTATTAATTTTTATCGTTACGTCTGGAAGGGCATCAGATGCGTGATTGCGTGAAAACAATTACAGACTTAACTTAAACTCCAATCGTTTAATACAGCGACGATTGTAGGCCAAATAAATATTCTCTCTCGATGGAAATCAAACACTCGTGTTTGCGGTTAAACGCGCGGTGAAAATACCCGTCTAGACGACCCATCGAGTAGCCGCCAATGGACGTTAAACATATCTGGTCGGAAATACGGGCCATCGTCGGCACAGTTATCGTTTAGGTCGCACGTCACGCGGGCGGCAATCGTACGATCTGATTCCGAAGACACTATGACATGATGATAAATTAAAGGTGAGGAACATATGTCTCGCGTGTGACTATGTACACTAAGCGTGTGCTCTCCCGAGAATATGCGGCTCTTTTTTTCTCTCGTTCTCTCGCTCTCTCGCTCTTTCTCTCTTCCTCTCTTTTTCTTCCTTCGATTTAAATACAATATGTATATTTGTATATATGTATATACTTACGACAACGACGCGAAACGACTAGACTGTGACCCGACTCTTCTTTTCTTCTTTGCTCTCTGTCTCGCGCCTTCTCCTCCTCCTTTTCTTGGCTTGCGTGAAACGCTCTCGCATACACGCAAAACACACAGAGTCTCTATGCTATATACAGGTATTTACAACGGTGTACAATTAATGCGCGTTAATGATCGCGCGCGCAGGCAGATGCGCCGTCAGGGGGATTTTGCGAGGACGTTAACGAGCGGCCGCTATCAAAAGCGTGGACTAGCGACTGAAAACCCGACCAGTAAATCGGCCAGGTGTTGTTTTGTTGTAGGTTTGATCGCCGTTGCATTGCGCATTATTACATCGATCATGTGGAGAGCTCGCCGATTCTCGCGAAAATCACGACCGCGCGAACAGCAATGCGCGTCGAAACAAATCGCGAACGCTTGCTTGATTTATGTACACGATTGGTAGTCCAATGCTTATCTCGAAATATTATGTGTCTGTAATATTAAATAGTATTTAATATTTTACAATGATACAGTACGCGTTTCGACGACATTGCATACGGAGGCGGTTTTGATTTTCCACAAGCGTCGAATTAAAAATATTTTTTTTTTTTTAATTATTTAAGCGAGATTGATCGTGTCGGTTTCTGAAAATTTCACAACGTGATAACATGGCAAAATGCAACGGCCATGTAGATGAATTTTTTATGATTTGGTGAATTTGCAGTCCTAATGATCGATCTATCTATATGCGATTTGACATATCGTTCGATTAGAGATTTCTTAATTAATGGATTTGCATTATAAAGAATAATATAAATAAGATAATTGTGCACATATGTGAAGCATTTACGGAAAACGGTAGTAAAAATAAATTATAAATATAGTTCGAAAAATACGAAATAAACTCAATCAATTCAAGATAGCTTCGTGGCAACTCGAAGCGTTTTCGTAATAAACGGATCTTTCCACAAATATAATAAAGTAAAAAAAAAAAAAGTTATTATATATACGTTTCATAAATAGTGCTCACATTATTTTCCATGAACACTTCACAATTATTTGCGCGATTCTTTATATTATCCAATTAGTGAATAATTAGCAATCAGTCTCTCTTTGTGTAAAATTTCTTCACAGCTAACCATTTATCTGGATCGAAAAAAATCTCCCACCGGCATGAGTTCTTCATCATCAAATTCCACGCATTCTGCTCTTCTACGTTTCTGTCCACGTCCACGAATTCGTCTCGCGAGTCGAACGTTTCGAGAGGGTTTCGAGAGGAACGTCAATGGTTACCAATTTTCTCGACCGCGGTTTTTGTTTCATCGTCATCTTCGTACCTCTCCGTCGCGGTCATTTGTACGATGTTTCATCGACCGCGAAGGATCCATTAAGTCCTCCTGTTTCCTCTTTACCTCTTCTGTTGCTTTACTTCACTGTTGTCCAATTTCTCTCTTTCTTTCTGCCTTATTCTTCTTCTTCTTTTCGTCACCGAGCAAAGAAATTTCTTCAACAACGCGACAAAGGACAGCGAACGTTGTCCACACAGTCAAGTATGATTCTTTGGTTTTTCCGAGGATGACTGCGGCCGGCATTACACGGAAATAAACGAACAACGAATGCCACGATGGAAAATTCCTATTGTCAAAGTTCGAATAGAAATTGCCTCTTTCCTAAAGGATTTTAGTCTTTCCCAGCTGGCCGGCCGACCTCGTTGTTATCCAGCTTGATTCTTTGGTTTTTCTTCAGAATGCGGAAGAATGCACGACGGGATTGAACGACTAGTCTCGCGATCACGCGACTTCCTCTTTCCCGAAGACCGACGAAGAAGAATATTATCCGTAACTTTCCCGTGCGCTTCCGTCGTTCTCTGCGACGACACGCGAAGACATTTTATCGTGGCCCGGGATGCCCATCTTGCAACAATGACATTTCCTTGTCCCGCTGATGGTAGGAAAACATGAGCCTGATAGTTGTTTCTTATGATTACACTCTCAAAATCGCCTGCATTCCATCATGATGAAGTAGTCCCGACGTTGCGTTTCACAAGCTTTCGCAAGACTGTGGAATGCGGCTTACTGCTTCATTCAACAGGAAAAATTAAACGTAATGAGCGTGAAGACATTCACCCAATTTTCTTCTTTCCGCGCGCTCTTTTCTTCTTTCGGAGGAAGTACATCGCGTTTGCATTTACCAATCACTGTCGCTTCCGTTCGAAATCTTCTCGTTCGATTGGATTTTTAATCAATAATAAATTACATTTTATTATATTTCCGCTCGCTTCTCGCTTTCCTTCAACGAACGCTCTGTCGCTTCTCTCGACTATTGGGCGCCAACAGGTCGGCTTGGAAGAAAATATATATATATATATATATATATATATATATACTACGAAATTATTACGCGATCCTTTTCGCACGGAAAGCAATCGAAGTCACGTTCTTCCGACGAGAAGAATGCCGACGACTCCGTCATCGCGTAACTCTCGTACTTTACGTGTCTCTCGCTGTCGGTGCTTCGGGCACGACCTCGTTCACGGTGTAGCGCCGCTACGTTATCGAGAATCCGCGATGTCTGAAAATTTTCCTCGACATTGCCTGACAACGACGGTCCCTCCCGCCCCTTCCTGCGTTTTCTCTTCCTCTTCTTCTTTTTCCAGGGACGATCAGCTTCGCGTTACGTATGCCTCGGCTGGCCGTACGCGAAGCTGACCTCGCGTCATGGATAATCGGGGTGCATCAAATTGTACATAATCGCGAAGATCGTGCAGGCGGCATAGACGCCCAGGGCGACCCACCAGAGTAGCTGCTCGTGCAACCGTTGCTCGAAGTTCTTCAATACCAGGAGGCCGATCGTTAGGCCCGCCAGAGCGCCCGTCAAATGGGCGACGTACGACACCGGCGGACCCATCTGTTCCGCGGCATACCTGTCGTAGATCGCGAAGCCCACGTCGGCGCTAGCTGCAATCAGAGTCATCAAAATTTCCATGAAAATTTGCTATTTTCGTTTTTGTTTTTTTAAATTATTACAAGCGGCCTCTCGTCTCTCCACGCCTATCTCTATTTGACACTTTATCTATAAGACAATTTAATTGTCTTATTTACGAAATTTTAAATTAAAATCAGAGATTCTACTTCTATTCTTCAGACTAGTAAAAATTCACAAGTAGCAAGCGCAGACAAATTGGTAGATTAATTTAAAAAGGATGTAGAAAAGTTATAAAATAAAGAAAGAAAGTAATGCTCTTATCGTGGCGTCTTCTCTCTTAGGATTCTTTCTGGCTGTCTGCCCTGCAAAGTATCGATCAAAAGAGTGCATAGTAAAACGAAAAAGAAAAGCATAAGAGGAACAACAGGAGAAACAAAAAACCAAAGGCAGTAGAGTGAAAAAAGTAAGGATGCCGGAGAGCCGAGCCAAGTCGAGCCGACGGCGAGCTTTGAGAAGCTCTCGAAGTGTCGTCGAGAGAAGAGAGCTTCCTTGCAGCTTCTTTAGCGGCTTTTTTCTGCGTCTGTGACCATCGTCGATGACTGTATAAGTTCATTGTATTTCATTGTATTTCTGTAAAAAATTTGCTTCTTCGCTAGTTAATGTAGAAATAAGCTTAACGCGAACGGATCAACTGAGGTCTTTAATTTCGATTAAAGCTATTAATTTATTTTAATTATAATAATAATTAATAATAATAATAATAATTTAATTATAATAATAATTAATTAATTAATAATAATAATTAATTTAATTATAATAATAATTAATTAATAATAATAATAATTAATTAATAATATTTTAATGTTCTTTATGCGAAGCTTTTTTATTTTATTAATAGATGCAAATCAGTTTCACTTCTCTTAAAAAAGTTACAAAGTTATATTCATAAAATTTGATTCTTTTTCCTAGATTTCTATTTATACTAACAAAAATAAAATTATATAATTTTTATAATTATATAATTACATATTGTGTAAAAACTGCAAAAAATTTAATAAATAATTAGTAACTTATTTCCCAATAAATTTTTATTAAAATTAACTTAATATGATTTAGATATTAATATAAAAAATAGAAGATTTATCATCCTTTTAAAGAACACGTTTCATTTTCGACATTTCTGCAATTGAGTTTAAAATTTTCGTTAAATATCAACTCCGAAATATCAACTTATTGAGATATTTATAACTTCAAGAAAGTATACGTGAATTTTGATGTACATCCTTTATACTGTTTTCTTTCCGTTCTCAAACGCAATCTCTTTACGTCGTTGCTGCCGTTTAACTTGGATAGCAAAGTTGAATTATATAACTCTTGAAGTAACAAAAGCTGGACCCTTTCTGATCTTTTCCCTTTATCCATTTTCCTAACTTTATTTTCTCGACTGCAATCAGTATATCCATGAATATATTTATTACATAATATTCTATTGTCATACCTTTCTTCATATTATGAGTGTCCTTCTGAGTCAATTTTATATCTCTCTTCCATTTCTCAGTTTATAATCCAATTTTGATGGAATTGCCGGATAAAAGCTCAACTAATTAATATTGGATTATATATTACTATATATATCTGAAGCACTTTCATTGATTTGTACACCTCATCCATTTGATCATTAAAATTTACTATTAATTGTCGATGTATGATGGTCATTTCGTTTAATGATTATACGTCATCTCTATCTAAATTACGTTTACTTTACATATAATGAAAAAAACTAAAATTTCCTCGTCATCAAAGTTTATTTAATTCACTTCATCTCTTCTTCTTTATCGAGATCGACTCTGTCGTGCCGCTATTATTCCATAATCTTTTACTCCATAAACTCAAAGTTTCACATCTCTTTTTTAATTTTCAATCAGGCTTACTCAGGCACGATCTTGATGACTCGATAAACACGAGCAACGACATCGTGCTCGCTTGAAAATTTGACGGAACAGCCACCTGTTCTTCTCATGGCAAACAATCCCAATGTCGGCGAAAATTCTACGCGGCGATCACAGCGCGAGCACATCTTTTAATTAAAACTTTAGAATAGCGACGGCTTTTGTGGCTCCTCTCTTGCGCTTCCCAGCTCTTACCGCGAGAGAAAAAAAAACGAGGAAATTGAAATTTCAGAGGAAGTATTGAAAGCGCGAATAGAGAAAATCGACTAAATGACAATAAACAAAAAGAAAAAAAAATCGTAGAAGCGTGGTATTACCATTCAATGAAAAACGTGAATATGTTAAGCCAATATTTGTTAATGACTCTATATATATTAAATTCGATAGATAATATATAATAATTCAACGCATTCCCTCGTTGATTAAACAGAATGTCAACATTCGAAGATATCTTTGAGATATAAAAATTTAAATCTCTCTCTCTCTCTCTCTCTCTCTCTCTCCTCTTTCTTTCTTTTCCTTTCTCTGAAATTCCATCACAGAGTTCTGATTGCAGTTGATAACGGTGCATTTTCTTCGCGTCTTAAGACGTTATGGGAGACGAGAGACACTTCGCCACGTTGCAGACTCCTGCGAGAGCGTCATTTGCATTCGCGGCTGAACGGATGACCCGCTTCCACGTTGTGAGAGAGCGCGTTTATCGATCAAGCTGTACTTCGCTCGTCAAGCTCTCGCGCGGGGATTACGTTGTAATCCAAGTCGAAGCGCGTAGATCGGAACGGGCTTGGGCTGCTACCATCCGCGGACAGAAACTATGCGAATATACTAGAAACAAGACAGGCAGGAGAAAGGGAGATAGAGGGGGAGGAGAAAGCGACGGCAGATATCCGAATCCGCGCTGACGGTAATCAACCCCTTAAACAAGGTTATTGAAGACTCGAGAGGCTCCGTCGGGGTGAATTTGAGGCGACTCTAGGACCACTAGAACCGGATAATGCGCACGTACAGTGGTGGTCAGATTACGTGCTATATAGGCTCTCGATACTAGAGTTCTACGTCTTTGCCAATATCGCGCTATTATTACGCTTACGTCACCATAGGCGCCGAGTTCTGAGATTGTATTCTGTGTTCCGAGGTCCGAGATACTTCACTATAATCTTTAAAGACGTGCCTGCAAATTCATGACTCTAAAGGTCTTTTCTACTTTGTAAAGAGACGAGATACCCTTCAGAAACTGTTCCCTTCAACTTTTAAATTATTTCTCTCAAATTTTTCATAATAAAGATTAATTCACAAATTTTCATTATATAACCTTTTAAAAATCATTTTTTATAGTAAGAATTAATTCTCATCTCATTTATAAAGTCGTAACATCCTTTAAAAATTTTTTCTCTTCACAATCGTATTATTTAAAATGTTAAAATATCTATTGTGTGATATTTCGTATGTCGTACTGACTTATTTAACTTCTAATAATTTATCTGCAATTTAGTCTTTAGCAAGACATAATTAATGTATGCTATCGGCGCCAATGGTCAATCGCAATCGCTCTCGAAAGCAGAGCTTTCGACCGAAGATATCAAGCTGACAGGTCGAAGGTAGATAGAATTGGCCGCGGTGGTTGCAAGCCGACGATCGAGGAAGTAGGGTTCACTTACCGATGACGAAGATGCCGATGAGCCGAACTATCCCGAACTCCATATTATTGTAGTTGAGAAGGACGTTGGCTAGATGCGCCGCCAGAAGGGCGTAAACGCCTCCGCTCGCCCCGACCAGGTACACATCCGTGTCGAATACCGACGTGCCCAGCGAGCCTGAAATCACAACAAATATAACTTCTTAATAGCTTTTTAATTACTTCCACAAACGTATCAGTTTTCTTCGGAATTAGCGCATTTTCTCATTTTTCTTAACAGTGGCAGTGTAGCAATAATTAATTGCAGGATCTCACAACCATCATATTGCTACTTCAATCGAACTTTAATTTGATACTAAAATATCGCGAAAGTATTCCATTTCGAGATATCATAAAGTTTCGTTTCTATAACTAGATCATTCATTATTTATAACAGCGTGAAATATATTTCAGTAAGTTTAAAGGGTTGCAAAGTAATAAAAATTATATTTCCATGATTATTATTATTATACTTAGTGTCTTAATTCATGAATATACAGAATTACGTAATTAACGGAATTTTTTGAGAAGAGAGAACTGAGCGTTCTCACGAAGCTGCGAGCTTTCCGTCGAGAGTTTCGCCCATTGGTCTGTCGAACTGGGAAACACTCGTTCTCCAACAACCACGAAGTGCGGACAGAATTTTCCGCTTTCGCCGCCCTCAGCGAATAAAATAAGAATAATATTCGCTCTCAACAACTCGAAAGTTCGCACGGCCCCACGCTCCAGTTTAACAACGCCAAAAACTCTCTCTTTCCCTCCCTCTTGTCCTTGCCATCACTCTTCCTCCAGTTCGTTCGGGAACATCTGTTGCTCCGCGCGTAATGTGGAAAAAGCTCGTCGGAAAACAAGTGCACGCCGTAAGAATTGGAATACGGTGTACGAGAACTCATACGCCCCAGTTTCCCTTCTTTTTCACCGAACCGAATAAAGAGATAAAATTTTAATTTTTACGTGACAAGGGATGTTTTAATTATATGCGGATAAATGTAATTTACATGAAGATTGACTTATAATTGCTCCAGTTAAATGCCAGAAATATTTAATATACATATAATATTGTAAATTACCTATTCTCCTCGATACAATTTTCGATATTCTCGCAAATATTTGCATGCTGAACGCATGTTGTCCCCGTGTCGCTCTCAGCATTTGGTCGATTTGCAACGTTGACAGTACAAAGCGCTTCCGGGCGCTTATAGCTAGCCCCGGTTATTAGAAGCGAAATTAGGAATCTGTCTCCAAGTACCTGTCCCGTAATTTGATAGACTGCCTACGGCATGCAGGGGGTAGTGCTCGCTACAACGCGTACAAAACGCGTGTTAACAAGAAACGGTCGATATAACATAATACATCATCAAGGATCATCTGATGTTACTTGAATATATCTGATAATTTGATTTGTGTAATACATACGTTTCTTAATATACAATCATACACCTAAAAAATGCACTTTTATCGAAGCTTCAAGTTAAAATTAAGATGCTGTATTACGTAATATTATGTAATGATAGAGAGAGAATGTATGTACGGTAGGTACTTGAAAAAACGTTGAGTAGCATTGCGTCCCAATTACATGTCGAATCGACGACAGAAGAGAATTCGACGCACGATAGTATCGCGATAACAGCAACGCGCGTTCGACAAACTCCGCAATTCGCATGTTTCGCCCACGTAACGTGTAGCACGGTGGAACGGGCGTGTAGCGCAGCACACAACAATTTCAACCCCGGGAGCAACGGTAATGTATCAGACACACGATCGCGCTAGTTAAACATTAATATCGCGTTGGGCAGGCGGATGGTGCTTCGAGAATCGATGCGGCGCCCGCCTATATATCGTGGGAAATGAGCGAGGACATTAGTCGCTTCCTATGTGGAAATGGGAGCGACTGGCCGGGTGGTGGATGATTCGGCGCGTCTGTAGAGTGGCCGGGTACCACCTGACACCACCTGGGGACTTGCTGACCGATCGCCCTCCGCGAACCTTAACCACCCGACCCACCTTTGATCCGTCCTAAATTACGAGTGCTGTCAGAGGACAATACGTCGCGTCGCGTCCACCCTGACGAGGTTGCTCCGATTTATTAAGGCTGTCTTTCCTAATCCACCGCTGTTGATGTAGACGAGACGTGTTTCCGATATTTTTTCCTTCAAGCTTTTACGGATTCTTTCCGTAAAAACTGCAATACATTTTCTCCTATATATGTCGAGACATCGATGGTCCCTGAATAATAAACGTTTGAAAAATTTGAGGATTTAATTTTCAATCAAGTTGAAAAGAAGAGAGAGCAAGAAAAGAGGGAAAAGATTTATTCTTTAGGTAATTTTAAGTGAGCTTTGCTCCCTTCCGTTTTAATTTAAGAGCTCGAATTTTTCAAAGTTATACATTTACGGATAAGTCTAGCTAATTCGGATAGTGTCGCGCGCATTGTGCACAATTTCACACGCGTGGCACTTTCGTTTCTTGCGAAACCGACGATTCAATTCAATTCGCCGCTACGCACTGGTCATTAACGCGCGACCTACATCGAGTTGCAGCGGCAGCCTTCACGGGAGAGCTATGCGAAGCGCCCCTATTTCGTAAACTACCTACACGGAGTTTCCGCAAAGCGCAAATCGCGTCTAAGCCGGTGTGCACCGGAGCGACGTGGAAATGCATTAAGGATGCAAACATCAATTCGTGCGAGTTCGCGAACGCTCCGAATTACCCGCAATGAATTATTAGTGTCCGCTTAATAAATGATCGAGTCACATCCAATCGGAACAAGGGAGCAATTATTCGAGACGCGTAGAATTAGGTGGTTAACAATATAACTACTGAAACTGTCGCACTCCGACAGGTATCAATATTGAACAATGTATCGGGAATTGATATTTATCATGGAGAATTATCTAAAAACAATACAAAATTAAAAAATCTTTTTATAGTATTATTAAAAAGTCCAACGTAAAAATGTGATTGCAAAGAGATCGAGATCGAAATAATACATTACTATGGATCTTTATTATGGATAATTATAAAAGTATCTATAAATTATACTGTGATTTTTTTGTTCGATATTTATAATGCGATAAACAACGCATAATTAAATAGCGGTAATATAATATATATAATAAAAAAGAAAATTTAGAGTCTTAGCTGTCATCGACAGTCTCTGTTTGTAGTCGTGCCATAGTTAATTGAAAGTTGAAGCACGCTCAGAGACCACTTTACTCCCGTGCACGACGAACCCGTGCTTCTCTGTTGTAGTAATTGACTCGAGTTAACGGATACTGGCTCAAGAGGCTGCTGATTCCCTTCATCCGTTCTCCTTGGTCCAACTTAGACGATGCTGCGAGTATTTACGGTTTACCGTCATTTACCTAACCGAGACCATAGGAAACGAGCCATGGCGGCGAATAGCTTATTCGACCGCGATACCAAATTACCAAATCAATACTTTGCTCATTGACTTATTTAAACATTAAATTATTACTTATTATTAGCAAAGATTGTTCATTTTTTTAAGATTAAAAATATTTTATTGGTATTATTCTATTTCTAATTTTATTATTATTAATATTATTTCATCAATTCCGATTTCATAATTTAATTAGTATTATTCTAAATTTTAGATACATGTATTTTGATAAATTTTACATTATTTCATATTTTATTCTATTTAAATATTTACGTAAACAAAGTTCATTCGTTATTTTTGAGATACTGCCAATATTGCAGATAACAATTAACCGATCGCTGCACTCGTTCAATTGAACTAATTTCGCATTTGCTACGTTTTCTCGAAATAAATGGTATCACCATATTCGCGATTAAATTAGTCTCGTAATTGCGAGGAACGTGCGCGGAATTAATTAGCCATGATCGCCAAGGAGCCTGTGTAAAAAAAAGTGAGGCGTAAAGGGAGACGAGGGATTCTGTACGCTTTCTAGCAACCAAGAGAGAGGTACGTGCATATACCGCATACAGATAAGAGAAGAGGGGGGAAAAAAAAGGATAAAAATAAGGTAACGGCGAGGAGTCTCGCGAAAATTAGCGACCTGGCGCGAGAATGAGCGCGATGACTAAAAGAAGGCCGAAAAGAGGAAAAGGAGGAAGATCTCGCGAAGCGTAATAGAGTCCTCGCGAACTTCTCGTGGGTTATGAAATTCATCCGAGCCTTCGTTAGTGCCTTCGGCTTTGCCTTAAGGAAGAAAGCGTGAAAGGAAGGGAAGTGGGTCGACGCGGTCCGCCAACGCGATGCACCGGCGCGAGTTAATGTCTTCGCGACCTACTCCTATGATTACAGCATGCAGCAGCGGTAGCAGCAGCTCTATCCATGTATCCAACGCTTCGCAACTCGCCGCAATCAGCCTGTCCGACAATGGATATCGTCAACTTCGCCTGGATATGAGGATGCCGGGGATTTTCACTGTTGACGCTCGAGATACCGCGTGTCTGAACGGGGATCTACGGGGATTTTACTGTCCAAGTCAAACAGGATATCTCAATTTCTTTACAATCGTGACATGTTTCCCGAGCGAAGAGAATCCACGTTCAGGAGCTTTTAAATAAATTTTATTTTTAAAAGATTATATATATATATATATATATATATATATATATATATATATATATAGAGTTTGATAGATCTTCCATCAGCCGAGAGATGCCGATGAGATTTAGCGTGCAATAAGATGTCGCGCATATTTTTCAATTTACAGATCATCGATTAACGATTCGTTGACACCAATAACGGAGTCTGTTGGAACCAAACGGTGCGACGTGCAACAGGTGCAACGAAACCAGCACGGAGGTAGCTTGTCCAATAGCAAAAAAGATATGAAAAGTGTCAGAGATGCAGACACTCATATGATCCTTGTCGTTTCCCAATTCTAAGAAAGTTTTGAATATATATCAGAAACAGACATAAAGATAAATTTGATTGACTCAAACAATAGATTCAAAAAAAAAAATCTAAAAAAAATTTTATATACTTCCAGTTATTATTTCCATTTTATTATCTCCAGTTTCTAATTATTCATTCAAAAGCACTTCAATGACGTGATTTTTGTGTAGAACTGTGTAACGTAAGTTTTAAAATCATCGGATTCTAATTTAATAAGATAACACTTTCCACAAAGCTCATTCTAATTT